TGTTTCAATGAACATGTGAACACAGGTGTCTTTTTGGTAGAACGACTTATTTTCTTTTTAATACATGGCCAGTAGTGGGATTGCTGGGTTGAATGGTAGTTTGGTTTAAGTTCTTTGAGAAATCGCAAACTGCTTTCCAATTAGTGGCTAAACTAATTTACTTTCCTACCAACACTCTTGTTCTGTGTAAAAGTGCAGAAGAACACGTATAGTAGTTCAAGTATCTAAAAACTTTGCTCTCATTTTATTCAAACATTAGAATATCTTAAATAAAGTAACCTTTTGTATGATTTAATAGAGTTCTGAATGTGGTCCAATATCTGTCAAAACCTTGTATAAAATACCTGATATTTGAGAAAGGCAGTCTAACGGACATGTTAACCAGTCACTGATCTGTGGCATTCATGCCAAGTTCTTTCCTACACAACTAGAACGTCATAAGGCTAAGTAGCTGGGTCACAGTCTCTCAGCTTCTCTGGGCAAGGTGCCTTCATAGCTGGAGATACAGCAGTCATACGCAGTAGGGAGTAGTACAATTGAGCCTTTTAAAGATATTGCTAACTATGTAACTTTCTGTTCTTAATAGAAGGATTCATATGATAAAAATAATGTTTGAGTTATTTCACACAAAAATTAGTCTCTATGGGTAACTGTAAGATTTCATTTGTCAAAAATGAAAACTCTATTATACATGCTTCCCTTTCCACTATACATATCAGAGCTTTTAAGGCCTACATTTATCTTCCACTCTATTTACTGGCTCATTCCTGCTGCATGGTAACATTTACCTTTTTGGTTCCCCACTTCATGTCTGTATATTTTAATCTGTAAACCACCCGAAATCCTTTTGGAAATAAATGAGGTATAAAATCCAAACACATAAATCCCTAATCTTTTCAGAGATCCAAACACAAAGTGCTAAATGGCAAGACTAATAGAAGAATACTTGATTCAATTATCTTCTCAAAACGGGAAGCTGAATAATAATTTACAAGGAAAAGGTCAATGACAAGAGTGAAGATGAGATTAGGTGGTCCATTATATTTGATGAAAAAACTCAGCCAGCGAAGTATTCATCTATCTTCTTCAATCAATAAAGGGAACTTTGCAGGCATCCACATAATATAATTTGGCCTTTTGTTACTCTAGTGCATAAATGCTCCTTACTGGAATGACAATCAGTAGTAGATCTGGTACGTTTCAGTTACATTCTCTTTCCCAGGAGAGCTAGAATGATTTGCAAAGAGAGCAAGGGTCATGCATAAATTCAGACAGTGTCAGTGCCATCTCAGCAGACTCAGTTCAAAGAATGAAGAATGCTGACGCAGCATTGCAGCATTCAGCAGCTACTGCAATAACTCTCTGCGGCAGACAGAGTCTGAATAGCTCTCCAAGGATAATCCAAAAGGAAATATTGACAATGTCAGACAGGATATCTTACATATACACAGCAAAATTACAATGTAAAAGTCAAAATTGACATTGTAATAAAAATTGAAGGAAAGATGTTAATAAAACAGTTAAGTATGCTATAAATCAGTTACCAGAACTGCTACTCAGGGGTACACATCCATCACTGACTGGGACCTGCTTTACTGCTGCATAAATTAGCTGGCACTACATACAAACATGGAGAGCAATTCGTTCTATTGTGTACTCCCTTCAGTCACATGGTGTTTGTTTCTGCCTATTATCTGCTTTGGAAATGAACATCTATCGCATTCAGGAAACAATTCCAGAGTGTTGTTCTTCTTCGACTTCCTCGGCTCTCTTTGCTAGCAGGTGGCCACTCTCTGGGATGTGCTCTCAGTACAGAGTGCTACAAAGAACTGCAAGACTTTATCTGCCATACTTCTTTCTTCACTGATTTAAATCTTCCATTCTCCACTGTATTTTGTCACAGGTAGAAAACAGAAATCACAACCCCCCAAGATAAAGGGTGCTGGTGTTCTTTATCTACTTCTAACCACCTCATCAATAGCTCTGTCCAAACCTGGCTCTGAAGCATATGATTTATGGTAACAATTTGCAGCCAATTCTTAGCAAATAAGGCTTAATGATGCTCCCTTTATTGCTCTGACTGGATACAGTTTGATCCTGTCTGCATTCAGGGGCCTCTGACTTTTACCTGCTACTTCTGTTACCTTCCTGAGAGAGCTATGACCTAGAAAGACCCCATGGAAGCTGGGAAGGGAGAGGCCTCTGTAATACAAAAGTGGAGATGCTAGATTATTATGTAATAAAATTGCTACAGATTTGGAACCTAACATGGATTGCTTAAGGCAATTGGCAGTTGCCTCAGTTTAAGCTCTTTTTTATAAAGAGTTCTCAGGTACCCCAAAGCAAGTCATCAATCACCCACTGCAGAGAGAAGCAGAGCTTGCTGGGGAATATGCGATGGCCCAAGCCTCCTATTAAATAAAATCAAATTCCACCACAGCCTTCAGCTCAGAATGCTATTAGACGTCATTAATTAGGAAAGACAAGGGAAAATGCATTTCTGAATCAGTGAAAAGTCTGAATTTTAACATATTTATTTTAAACAAAAGCACAGTGTACGTACTTTAAATCATATATGCTAACTCACAAAGGTTAACAACCTGGGTCTGATATCGCCATTGATTTTTAATCCATAAATAAGCATCTTTTGTAATTACCACAGTCATTGTTTTAATGCAAATGGACACTTAAGAATCACTTGAAAAAGTCCGAAAATACTGTAATACGTCTTTTTAAATTGCTTAAACATTTCTCCAATCCTCTTGTTTTCAGCAACCTCAGGACATTTCCAAACAAAGCCAAAGACAAACTTCAAACATCACCCTGACATAAATTTTCCAAATGTCCTAATTAGAAGATGTAACTTAATGAGGTTTTTATTATGCTGTAAATCACAGAAATAAAACCAGAAGAATGCATCTTGAAATGAACTTCAGTTTCAACATTGACATACAATGTTTCTACTTGACTTAAAGAAGTGCTTAACTTTGTCCTTCAAAGTGTCAAAGTAGGCCTTGGATCTGCCACATCAAGGATGTAGTTAATGCAGTGAGAAAAACTGTGAATAAAATTGGCTGTCGCTCTCCAGTCATTTAAACTGATGAAAGTGTTTAGCAAACTCATGACAATAGAATAGGAAACAACTTTTCTATTAGTACAATCTCAGCCCTTATTAATTTTTACAGAATGAACGAATTACAAGAGGAAAAGTAAAATAAACTCTCTTTAAGTTGCGTAGGGAAGAGAATAATGGTTAGGAGTTTTGGGGCTGAAATCCTGCCTCTTCCAACCTGCTAGCGCCGTGATCCTAAAACAGCTACTTCTTATCTCTAAGCCTGGTTTCCTCTTCAGCAAAATAAGGATAAATTATGCCTTTCCTTGTATTAGGATGTGTGAGATAAAATGCACAGCCTGGCATCTTACAGTCAGGAACTACTTCAGAAATCATATTATTTTTACTGCTGGTGCTGGCATTACACACTGTCTCCCTAGCCAATCTAGTTCCATTTCTCCTCTAAGAAGTGAGTGTTCAGCAAAAAAGACTTCAAATGTTACGTTCAAAATAACAGTGCTGCTTGATACACTGTGGATATATGTCCCCACCCAAATCTCATGTTAAAATGTAGTGCCCCGTGTTGGAGGTGCTGCCTTGTGGGAGGTGACTGGATCAGGGGGAAGGATTTCTCATGAATGGTTTAGCACCACCCACTTGGTGCTGTCCTCATGATAGTGAGGGAGTTCTCGTGAGACCTGGTCATTTAAAAGTGTGTGAGGGACTTCTCACGAGACCTGGTCATTTAAAAGTGTGTGAGGAAGTTCTCACGAGATCTGGTCATTTAAAAGTGTGCGGTACCTCTCTTCTGGCTCTCTGGCTCCTGCTCTGGCCATGTGATGTGCTGCCCCTGCTTCGTATCCTGCCATTATTCTAAGTTTCCTGAGGCCTCCCCAGGAGCCGAGCTGATGCCAGTATCATGCTTCCTGTACAGCCTGCAGAACCAGGAGCCAACTGACCTCTATTCTTTATAAATTACCGAATCTCAGATACTTCTTTGTAGCAATGTGAAAACAGATGAATACACTACTATGGCTGCTATTAGTGATGATACCATGTCAGGCACTGGCTGGGTGATTTACATGCGCTATTTCTTTTAATTTTCACAGTGACTTAATGAGGGAGAGGTGATGTTTTATAATTGTTTATTTAATTTCATTATTCATCTTATAAATGAGGAAACTGACGGACACAGGGAGAAAAGTGAAAGCCAAAATTTGAACCCAAGGAGTCTCTAGTCACAGTCCAGACTTTGAGCCACTACTTGATCCTTCCCCCATCTTCCCTTGTACTTCCTTCCGATAGTGTTTCTGATGATCAAGCTGAACAGCAGTTTTTAAAGTGAGGGCAGTACTACTCTGTTTGGATGTCCAGCCTGCTGTGCTGTGGGCCATATAACATTGTAATTTCTTTCTCCAATGGATATGAGCTTATTCAGGTTACACAACCTTGTTATTTATTATGAAAGTTTGTAGGGGCCAGAAGATAAAGTCAAAAGATGGTCTCATTATTTGGCTTCTGTAATTTAGGCCTCACGTGGACACTCCAGAACATTCCCATTGTAAGGTTAAGACCCTGATCTCTAGAGCATCAAGTGCCAGCTGACCAATTTCTAAGGGTTTCAAAAATTTCAACTCCTGAAACAAAATTTCAACTTCCTTTGTTGTCCCAGCCATGATTCCTTGAATCACACCTTCTATATATGCATGTATATATTTATTTATCACCCATCCCACCTAGCATTCCTGATCTTGGTTTACCTCTCCTGCTGGATACAGGCACACCTATGTAAATGCAAGAACATTCACTAGGATGAGTAGAAAGTCATAGCCTTCACTGACTGGAAAGACTCTTGGAGGTCATTTGTTCCAGCCTCCTCATGTTGGGAAAATAAAGTGTAAAATCGTTTCAAATGCTTTAAAAGCAGGACACATGGCTGTGCTCTTACCCTTGCGGTGAAGTCCACAGCAGCCGCTCGGTTTAACAGCAACGTGGCTACATTGATGTTTCCATAGTGAGCAGCTATGTGGAGCGGAGTGAAGCCACTCTGTAAAGAAAACACAGCAGACGTTCAATTGATTCCTGCTGGCCTCCGGTCAGACCGGCAAATATCAGAGCCCTGCCCAGATCAAAATGAGGAAGCAAAATATGCTGAGGTCTATGCTTCATTCTGTACTAGGTTTCCATCAGTGCCAATTGCTTGCAGGGTTTCTAATAAACCCCAAACTTATAGGCAGAAGAATAGCCAGGGAGGAACCAAGGGTGGAGACTGAGCAATTTTAGTAATCCAGTAACAGAACTATATAAAAGCCAACATTTCAAAAAATTAAGATAGAGATGACGAGAAAAATCATTATAGCTGATAGCTTGATTAGTACCGCTGTTTTACTACTGATGATAGAATTGTGCATTGAAACTCAAAAGTCAATTACTTTTTATATTTGATACAGATGCAAATTAACCAACAGTAAACGCCAATTTTAATGGCAAAAGCAATTTCGAGGGAAGAGGTACTACCATCAAATTGGTTTTATACAATGGGCGACTGTATTCCATGAAGAATCCACAAGTTAATCTGTTTGTTAGCAAACGCCTGTTCAATAACATATGTTTCTGGATTGTTTATACCAAGGTCATTTTACTTCCTTAAAAATGCTAAAACATGCAGCGATTCACTTAGTCCCCAAAGATTGAAACCTTGTAGGAACTAGATGCATTTCTAATTTGTGAGCAAGCTTCTTAGCCATGCTAGCTATCTCACTGACTCTTGTAGAAGGGTGGGTCATACTGACGCCATTCTGAAATACCTTTCCTTCTGCTGACACCACAGAGGATAAGTGTCATGCACAACCCTAAGAAACCAGTCCTGGATGAGTAGAATGACAGGGTTGTCTGCAGCTTTAGATATAGCTGATAAACATCTAAAGTGTCCAAACTCTTCATCTCACACAGCTCTATTCCAATACCCTTAAGAGTCAAGGATTCCTCATTCTTCTCTTTCAAACACCAGGTTCAGCTGCAGAAAGCCCTGGTAGTCAAACTACTGCTATCTTATCTGGCACATGCTCCTTGGAGGGGAGGAGGGATCGGGGATAAAGCAGGTATCTAGCCTACAGAAGGCGATGCAAAGAAGAAGGGAGAGACATGAGGCAGCAGCACTAAGTAATGGGAAAATGATGATGCAGATATAGACTACACGTATATGCATATATATATGTATATATACCTCTGTTGTTCTATTCACCACCATCTAGGTTAACACATTTGGAAGCAAAGAGGAGGAAAAAATGAACGGTTAGTTCACTATTGGTGATATGGACTGCAGAAAGCTCATGACAGCTAAATAATGAGGATGGAAGCTCTGATGAAAGCACAATAGGCACAGAAAGAAAGCTAGACTGAATGATGGGCTATGCAAAGGCTTGGTCCAAACGCCACGTTTCAGTCACAGAGGCTTTCGGGTACCACACGTCATGATGATGGACATTTTTGGCTGTGGCTCTCTTGCTGCTGGCATGCTCTCCGCAGCTGATCTATGCTCAGTGCCTGGCCTGTCACCTTGCGTATCAAACAGAGGTTGGCTGTGTACACTGTCTTTAGCATTTTGTAATTTTTTGCCCTGATGTTTGAGCTGAAGTGTTGAATAGGTTCCGAAACTATATTCAAAGGAAGGAAATGAGCACTGTATAGAAATTGACTTCTTTTGGGGTGGACTCCCTTTTAGCACGCATGGCTTCCTCAGTCCCAGCTTCTAATGTGAAGGGAGGCTGTGCCTTCAGTGGCTAGCTCGGACACACATTTTTTTCCTCCCTTCAGTGACGTTAAGGGTGTGGCATAAGCTTGCCAAGAGGGAGACCAGCACGGGAAAACTGCACGGCAAGCCCGCGGCCCCCACGCCTCACCTTTGATTCCACATCCGCGTTGCTGTCATTCTGCAGCAGCAGGGCGGCGGCTTTCGTGTCGTCTTTTCTGGCCGCGATATGAAGAGCTGGGAGACGCACTTTTCCTTTGGTGTCATTCTCTAGCAGGAGCGAAACGACTTGGTCATGACCTTGTTGCAAAGCCACTGCCAATGGTGTGAAGCCATCCTGCAAGTAAATGGATGGGTCAAGACTGGCTCCAATCGATATTTTCTTTTTTATGAAATTAACAAATAAGAAGGCAACCAAGTGAACAACCATCAATTTTTGTTTGGGGTTATTAAAGCTAACAACATACTCAAATGGAGAGAAATGTAAAAAGATACGTTCTCTCTCTCTTTCTCTCTGTATGTGTGTGTATGTGTGTGTGCACACATATACACACATACACATACACACAACTGAAGCAAAAACCCCTAAGAACTTTGTAATAAGTTCATGGATTTTGTGTTTTTCCCCCATTAAACAGTAATTTATATCAATTGGGAAAACTTTGAAAATGTACAAAAATATTACATAAAAAAGAAAAAATTGCCATAATATCAACATCCATAAAATAATCTCAGGACTGGGTGGCTCATGCCTGTAATCCCACCACTTTGGGAGGCAGAGGTGGGTGGATCGCTAGAGGTCAGGAGTTCAAGGCCAGCCTGACCAACACGGTGAAACCTAAAAATACAAAAAGTGGCTGGGTACGCTGGATGCCTATATTCCCAGCTATCTGGGAGGCTAACGCAAGAGAAATGCTTGAAGCTGGGAGGTGGAGGTTGCAGTGAGCCGAGACCATGCAACTGCACTCCAGTCTGGGCAACAGTGAGAATCTGTCTACAAAAACAAACAAACAAACAAACAAACAAACAAACAAAAAACTCAGGAACTCATTTAAGTAAGATGTAAAAATTTCCACGGATTTTTAAAAACTGAAATATAGGCCTCTCTGATTGACATTATGGCAACCTTTTCTGTGCCCTGTTGCCTCGCTTATTCCCAGTGCTGTCAGGATACGTGAATTCATGAACTGTGCTCATTGCTTCTTTACGAAAAGCCTATAGAGACTAAGGTCTCGAGAGCTAAGAGAAAGACCTTGGCTTCTGTGACCAGTGAGAGAAGACAACACAAAGACCAGGCAAACATGACGGTATTTATTTTGGTTGTCTTTTTTCTTTTTAAATTTTATTTTAAATTAAAAATTATATCACAAATATAGGATGCAAAGTGATATGACGATTTATGAATACAAGTGGAATGATCAAATCCAGTGAATTAACATCTTCATCACCATAAGTACTTATTTTTCATGGTGAGAACATTTGAACTTTATTCGCTTAGCAATTTTGATATGTACAATACATTATTACTAACTCTGTTAACCAAGTTGTGCAATAGATTTCAAAACAGGTAAAATAAAACCAGAAACTTATTCCTCCTTTCTGACCATTACCTCCTGTCTTCCGACTACTCCCAGTTCCTAGCCTCTGATAACTACCATGTTCGTCCTGGCTTCTATGGATTTGATTAAAACATGACTTCAGAATAAATTCAGACATAAGTGCACACATACATACTCTATACATTTTGAATCTCCCCTTTATGTTACTCTGGGACTTGATAAAGGGGACAGAGCTACAGACTTCACTGCAGTTAATTAATTTGTGGATTACCTAGAGTTGTTGAATGCAGAAAAAACAGCACAGGATAGACAATTCCAAGACTGGCTCAGAAATTGTAATTCCGCAATGTTTTCATTATAATATCATCAAGAGGGCATTTATTTACTTATTTATTTTTACTAGAGAACTGGCATGCAAGTGACTTATGATTTTTATTTGGGTCATGATATTTTATTTCTGTAGTCCTGTGGTACAGAGGAACATTTGGAAAACAATATAGGAGCACGTATGCACCTAGGTCTTCCTAAAACATTCCTTTCAATACTCTTTCCCTTGCTAGAATACAGAGAGAGCCTCTTTTAAATCATTTGATTGAATGCAAATCAGTATACTTATACTCAAGATGTGCAAAACATTGACCCAAAGCACCTACGTGGCATTATTGCTCAGTATCTTCCCCGATAAATCTTTTCTACCAGTGTCTTAATTTTGTACAGACTTAATTCTCTTCTGACACCTGTACTCATGCTATTTCCACAACCCTGAAATGTCCCCTTCCTCTCTCTATGTATATACATCCCATCTCTCCACTATGCTTCAAGATCTGGCTTAAATGCCACCTGTTTCTTTCAACTTTACTACCCAAGACAGCAGGAAAAAGGAAAACAATAACATAACCTATGCATCTAGAAGGATATTCCCAGAAGCCTTAAGAAGGATAACAAGGCCGGGTGCAATGTCTCACTTCTGTAATCCCAGCACTTTGGGAGGCTGAGGAGGGAGGATCACAAGGTCAAGAGATGGAGACCATCCTGGCCAACATAGTGAAACCCCGTCCCTACTAAAATACAAAAATTAGCTGGGTGTGGTGGCACATGCCTGTAGTCCCAGCTACTTGGGAGGCTGAGGCAGAAAAATTGCTTGATCTCAAGAGGCGAAGGTTGCAGTAAGCAGAGATGGTGCCACTGCACTCCAGCCTGGCCACAGAATGAGAATGAGACTCTGTGTCAAAAAAAAAAAAAAAAAAGGGATAGCAAACGCTAACAAACAGGGAAAGACTGGATACATCCAAGATGTCACTAAAATGATATCACAGGTTTACACTTAAAGACAGAAACTTTAGAATATATAAGAAAAGTAGTCTACATATCAATGTAAATAGACATTTTCATTAAGGTACATATATACATATATATAATGTGTACATGTGCAATGTATCTCTAGGAAATGTGTACATAATATGTATATAATGTGTACATGCGTAATGTATCTCTAGGAAAAACAGACTTCTTGCCTTTTATTGTACATTCTCATTTATGTGATGTGTTACTTTTGCAAAAAAAAAAAAAAGAAAATACGCATTGTTTAAATGAGAGTGTGGCAAAAAGAAAATTGTGTTTTAAGATTTAATTTTGCATCGCACTTTAAAAACCTGAACAAAACCTAAGGGGTAAAAATGACAATCCACTTCTGTTGTGAATCCAAACAAAATGGCTACATTTCCACTGAGGTGAATTTTAAAATTCACAGGACCTATACATAAAGGAAACTATTTTGTACCAGAAAATAAACTGCAACTGAACCGATTAGCACTGACAAAAATATGTTTCCTGCATAAGCCAATTAAAGATACAAAGATACCAGCTCTAAGGTGTTGACAGCTAAAATTAGCAGTTCCAGATTTTGTTTTGAAACCAAGTTTAAACAGTGTGGTTTGCTGTGTGTGGTTATTCTTAAGATAAAAATGAGCAGAAAGGAAATATGATACAGGCTACTTGAAGAAAGGGTCCATCCCCTGGTTACCCAAGGAGATCTACTACCTTGTGCAATGTCTGAAACATAATAGATGCTTAATAATTACTCATGAAATAAATGAACAAACAAATTTACTGCATGCTTCAGAATCATAATTAGCAAGAGGAAGATAGATAGATAGAAAAGATATAATATGCAGTACACAGTAGTATAAAAAAGTTTTCAAAACCACAATTATATTGAAGTCTTGCTACACATATACAAGATTTGAAGTGTGCCAGGCTTACTGAACAAAACACACTTGAAAGAATTTGGCAATATACCATTATGTAGTGAATTAAAGATTCTATCAAAAATGTGCTATTTAAAGGATCCTTTAATTGTCCCTTACTGTTTGTTCTGTAAATACAGACTTTTCTATAAATGACACCAATATTATTGCTAATAAGAGTGTCATAGAGTAATTAGAATATCATTTGAATAAAATGTCTTATTTCCTGTTGTTCTCATTCTCTAATACCAATAATCCAAAAGAAGAGAAAAAATTTAAAGGTTCAAACATCTCTAGGTAATTAGGTGTTATTTATACAGCAATATAATAGCAACCTCCTTGAAGACATGAACATCACTTATTAGACACAATATTGTTTTTTCCCGTAAAACTACAAAAATAATCTGAAATTAAATTAATGTAAAGGAGTAAAAGCGTTTAAAATATATATCCTTTGCCAAAAGACTGAAGTAGTGATTTGAAGATCTCACATACTACTTTTCTTTAAGTTAGTTGTAGGGCTTCTTTTTGGGCCTTGAAAACTTCAAAAAGTACTAGAGAGCTCTGAGAGCTATTGGCAATTGGTTTACAAGTTAATTCAAATCTATTAGCAGTAAATTGGGGTTATATTTGCTTCTAAAGGAGAGACAGTGATCTATACATCACAGTATAAAAAAAGAGTACCACACCATCTGTACAAAGACAGATAAGGAATCACTTTCATTAGGTTATTTATATCGCTTAATATTTCCATCCAAAAATGAGGATGGGTTTTCCCTTAGCCAGCAGCCCCTGACTGTCTCTTTCCCCTGTCCACTACGACACAATGTGTGCATCGTACCGTGCTTTGAATAGCTATTCTTGAGTGTGAAGAGAGGCACCGTTCTCTGCCTAGCAAACGTTCTTTTTAGTTTGTTTATAGACAGGCTCTCACTGTTGCCCAGGCTGGAGTGTAGTGACTACTCACGGTGCAACCACACAGCACTGTATCCTCAAACTTCTAGGCTCAAGTGATCATCCCATCTTGGCCTCCTGAGGAGCTGGGGCTACAGGTGTGCACCACTGCACCTGGCTAAATGTTTGTTATTTTGATACCAACCAGTAGTTATTTCTTAACTAGCTTTAAGAATACTATTTTAAAAAATAGCATTCTCATGATAAAAATCCCCTGAAGTATGGATGGGTATAAAATGAAAAAATGAGTATAAAAATCCCCAAGAGTACTGATGTGTATAAAATGATAAAATGAGTATAAAAATCCCCAACAGTACTGATGGGTACACAAAGGCTCCCTCCTAATTCTCAGGGCAAACCACTGATAACAATCTACCATGGACATTTTCTTATATCAGAGGCTTGTCTCATTTTTAACAGTGCTGAATGGCATGTTACTGTATAAATATACAAACATTTATTAACAGGTTTCTTTTCAGTTCCTTTCAAAGCCAAATAGTTCTGAATAAACAGGATTCTTACTGGTGGTATATTTAGATTCTTTCTCTTTTTTTTTTTTTTTTTTTTTTTGAGACAGAGTCTCGCATTGTTGCCCAGGCTGGAGTGCAGTGGCTTGATCTCAGCTCACTGCAATCTCCGCCTCCTAGGTTCAAGCAATTTTCCTGCCTCAGCCTCCCAAGTAGCTGGGACTACAGGCATGTGCCACCATGTTCAGCTAATTTTTTTGTATTTTTAGTAGAGATGGGGTTTCACCATGTTGGCCAGAATGGTCACGCTCTCTTGACCTCGTGATCTGCTCGCCTCGGCCTCCCAAAATGTGGGAATTACAGGCGTGAGCCACCACTCCTGGCTGATTCTTTCTGATTTTTAGAAATTGCTGTTACTAATTGTGTTGACAGATATTCCTGTCTACTATTTTTGCACCCCAATACAAATATATCTATAATATATAGTTTATATATCTGGTATTTCTATAATATAAATTGTTAGAAGTGGAACTGCTAAGTAAAAAGTTTTGTAAATATTAATTTTTGATAGTTACTGCCAAATGTTTTGCAAAAGTGTTGTAACCAATAATCAATTTCACCAGTATTGTAGGAAAGTTCTGGCTTCCTCTCCCTATCAACTTTTTTTTTTTGTCTCATTGACAAATGATAAGTTTTTTTACCTGATTAATAAATATTTCTTTGACTATAAAGGAGGATGAGAATTTTTCATATATTTATGGTTGTTTGCATATCTTTTGTGTGAGCTATCTCTTAATTTATGTAGTGGTTTCCCTAGAAGGTATAATCTCAAAAACTAAGTGAGATTAGATGCAGTTCCTCTATTGCCATCTTTTCTGTGCCACTCAGGGAGCACATCAGCATGAGTAGTGGTTTATAATAAGGATAACCCTGCATCTACTCTAATTCACAGTTTTGTTAGAAATAAAAATACTCATATATTAATCCTTTATTATTAGCAATAGATATTTAGTGACATGCTTAAGTGATTCCAGTCTTCCATCCAGATTAGTTTTAAAAATAAACATTACCTAAGACAGTATCAATGGCTTAAAGAACTATTTTTTAATAATTCGTCTGTTATACACTGCAAAGATTTTTTTTCTTCAAATACCATGTCTATTTAACACTTTAAAATGTGTCATAATTTTGGCTGGGCATGGTGGCTCACACCTGTAATTCCAGCACTTTGGGAGGCCGAGGCAGGTGGATCACAAGGTCAGGAGTTCAAGACCAGCTTGGCCAAGATGGTGAAACCCCATCCCTACTAAAAATATAAAAATTAGCTGGGTGTGGTGGCAAGTGCCTGTAATCCCACCTCCTGGAAGGCTGAGGCAGAAGAATCCCTTGAACCTGGGAGGTGGAGGTTGCAGTAAGCTGAGATTGTGTTACTGCACTCCAGCCTGGGAGACAGAGCAAGACCCTGCCTCAAAAAAAAAAAAAATGTCTAATAGTTTTATTTATAAGTATGAATTAAGTCTCAACTTAAAAAACACACAAATTCAATCATCATAATTAGGTTAACTTAAATTTGGAAAAAAACAATTAAAAGCTAATGTTTTATTGAAATGATAGTTCAAACCAGTTATTCCAAAACAATTATTGCCTCTGCCCATGAGGCAAAATTGTAAGAGACAAAACAGAATTCTCAAGCAAATATGTTAAATATTAAAATATTAGCACAACTATAGCATAGAATCAGGCATTTAAGAACAGAAAAAGTATCTGTGCAACAGAAGATTTTTAAAGATTAAAAGATGAAAGATTTAAAGATTGAAGCATTTGGTAATATATTTCATAAAACTTATGAACCCACACATTAATATACATCTTCAAACGAGATACTAGTAGGAGAAATTCTCAACTCCAGGTTTTCAAAATGCTCTGTAAATATGTAAACTTACCCATAGGGAAAAAAAAACAAAATGACTTACCTCTGTGGCTAGGCTCTGGCTTGCACCATTGTCAAGAAGAAACTTGACAACTTCCAGGTGATTTTCCTGGGCTGCCATATACAATGGCGTGAAACCATTCTGCAAAATAAGAAAAACAATGTTAATCTGCAGCTGGCCAGAGACAATCTATTTTTCCATGATACCAATGATTAATGCTCTAAGAAGTACTCACATGCAATAACTTTAATACTTTCATATAGATATTAATATTTATTAGAAAACCCAAGCACCATCACTGAAGCTAAATTCCTAATTGGTGTAATTTAAAAGTATTTTTTATAATTCATAATTTTAGTATAGATCATAGTTAGTTCATAGTTAATAGTCCAAGTATAATTCAAAGCAATTTGCCCACTTTAAATAAGTACACTCACTTAGTCATCAGCCACTTATTGAGAGCCTACCATGAGTAAGCATGTTACTAGATGCCGTGAGCATATGAAGAAAAACACACTTAGTCATTGTAGCTCCCAAGCCTTAATTATCTGTTTTAAATAAACATGTAATATTTTCACACAAAAGTAAGCATCTGAAGTAGTTTCGACATGGGAATGAATTTATATAAATCTCAAATAGCTTCAAGGTTACCACAGATGTGGTCTTTAGAGCAAAAAAAGAAATGCCAATTTGCATAATGGTATGATTCAATCTAATTCATAGTCTTTTTTGTAGGTTTCCTTCCTTTGTGTTTTTTTTGCCAAGGTATTTTTATGTTCAGAATACATATATCCATACATATTATACATACATACATATACACATATACTTAATTTGTGTGTGTATGTGTGTGCCTCTGAAAAATGCATCAACTCTCAAAGAAATTGGATCCAAGCAAATTAACATGCATATTACATCTTAAGTTTCCTATTAAAAATATGTTGTATATACATGTGTTTTCTAGAAGAATATATTTCATATCTATGAAATACCATACTATTTAAAAATCTTATTGCAAGATATAAACATCAAACAAATTACAGTTTTCAAAATATAATATTTTGTTTTATTATTATTTTGAACAGGGTCTCACTTGTTGCACTGTCTCAAAATAATAATAATAAAAAATAAAAAAGAGTGGAGTGTAGTGGTGCGATCACAGCTCATTGCAGCCTGAATTTCTTCGGTTCAAACGATCCTTCGGCCTCAACCTCCCAAGTAGCTGGGGCTACAGGCATGCACCACCACATCGAGCTAATTTTTTTATTTTTAAATATTTTTTATAGAGATTGGGTCTCCCTGTGTCACCCAGAATGATCTTGAACTCCTGAGCTTAAGCCATCTGCCTGCCTCGGCCTCCCAAAGTGCAAAATTACAATTGTGAGCCACCACACCGAGCCAGTAAATTACTTTCTAATACACTTTTCAAAATCCAATTCTATTTAACCGAATATTCTAAAAATTTTATTGTATACATGGTGCAATTTCAAAGACTAAGAGTAAATATATTCTAAACTACAATGTTAGCGAATATTCAAACTTTTGTGACAAAAAGATTTAGGTTCATTATTATAAATATCAACTACTATATGATTACCTTACTTATCCATAAGTTCAGCCTCTGGTGAACACACTGCTTTTGGCTTATAACTGAGAACTAGAAAGTAAAGTTACAAAGATCCTTGAGCAGATAAATTTGATGCCACATAACAAATCCACCATGGCTGTGCACTTATCAGAGTTCCTCTATTCTACTTCCTCTATTTGGCACACAATTGTAACAAGTTAGGTGATCTGGTTGCCAAGCTCCAGATTAGAAACACAAAATTAGAGGTAGTGAAATGCAACATCACATTCAATCTTCTTGTTTTTAAATTGTCTACCTGATAATATCTCTGGAACCCATGGTTACTCTGTTCTATCATGAAAGATTCTAACACATTTAAACATGAAGCATGGAGTACTTGGAACACTGTGTGTGTGTGTGTGTGTGTGTGTGTGTGTGTGTGTGTGTGTGTCCATAGGCGCGCGTGTGTGCGTGTGTGTGTCTATAGGTGTGTGTGGGTGTGTGTCCATAGGCCTGTGTGGCTTTCATCTCTGTCCCTCTTCCCAGCACTATGAGTGAAACTGAAAGGGAGTTTAGGATTACCCTCATCATATTGCTATTTTCTCATTTTCTAATTAGACCAAAATGAAAGGTCATTACATCCTTAGTTAAATTTTTTTTTTTTTTTGAGACGGAGTTTCGCTCTTGTTACCCAGGCTGGAGTGCAATGGCGCGATCTCGGCTCACCGCAACCTCCGCCTCCTGGGTTCAGGCAATTCTCCTGCCTCAGCCTCCTGAGTAGCTGGGATTACAGGCACGTGCCACCATGCCCAGCTGATTTTTTTGTATTTTTAGTAGAGACGGGGTTTCACCATGTTGACCAGGATGGTCTCGATCTCTTGACCAGGATGGTCTCAATCTCTTGACCTCGTGATCCACCCGCCTCGGCCTCCCAAAGTGCTGGGATTACAGGCTTGAGCCACCGTGCCCGGCCTTAGTTAAATATTTTTTAAGCAACAAAACAAAAAAGAAAAGAAAGGCCAAAACCAGTTGGCTTTTTCTCATAGCTAAACTAAGTACTAAGTGTCTATCTTCCCTCATCCAGTGCTCTCTTTGAATGCTGAAACTTCGAGAGGGCAAGTTCAGATTTTTAGGGGTAAAGTTTTGTTTTTTTTTTTTTAATAGTTCCAAAATAAATGTTGTCCTCTCAGACATAAACATCAATAAGAACATAAATATCAATAAGCTATTTATGTCACGGCAAGTAATGCCAGTTCATTCTCAGCTTCAGGGTGGAGGTCTGCTTTGGTGCAAGACTGCTAAGACACACTAGTCTATCCACACATGTCTGGCTCTAGTAGGTGTCCATTGTTGTCACGGTTTCCTTCCAGAACCAACCATTTCAGGATCCATGAAGAAAGCCCAGACTCAGGCACTGGGTTTTAAGGTAATTCTTTCTTACAGACCTGGAGCTTCTAAAGAGTTATTCTTAAGCAGTACAACTCTGAAATCATTCCACATGTCTTGTTTTACAATGACAGAAACTGAGATGCACAGAATTGGGATTATGTAGAAACGCTTGCAGACACGAGTCACAGAAAGATGTACCCCTGTAATTAACTTTTTTCCATAAGAGCTTTCTGCCTTCTTTTAGAGTACTTGCCATCCTAAGATTATTACCTGAGAGTTGATCATTTTCTGAATGGTCAAATCCTTGCTTGTTTTTTGATTTTTTAAATATTTATTGATATATAATTTGCATGTCATAAAGCGCACCTTTTTAAAGTGTGCAATTTCGTGGCTTTAAGTATATTCATAAAATTGGGCAACCCTTCTATCTAATTCTAGAACATTTTCATCATCCTAAAAAGAAGCCCTATACTCCTTAGTAATCACTCCCCGTTTCCTCCTAGTAACCACTAATGCACTTTCTGTCTCTATGGTTTTGTCTATTCTGGTTATTCTATATAAACATAATCATACAATATCTGTCCTTGAAGGGTCTTATGCTATTTCTTTCATTTTTTTAAAGAGATAGTGATATGGTTTGGCTGTGTCCCCACCCAAATCTCACCTTGAATTGTAATAATCCCCACATATCAAGGGCAAGGCCAGGTAGAGATCATTGAAACATGGGGCAGTTTCCTCCATACTGTTCTTGGAGTGAATAAATCTCATGAGATCTGATGGTTTTATAAATGGGAGTTCCCCTGCACAAGCTCTCTTGCCTGCCAGCATGTATAGCATGACCTTGCTCCTTATTTGCTTTCCACCATGATTGTGAGGCCTCCCCAGCCATGTGGAACTGTGAGTCAATTAAACCTCTTCTTCATAAATTACCCAGTCTTGGGTATATCTTTATTAGCAGCATGAGAACAGACTAATATAGATAGGGTCTTGTTCTTACCACCCAGCCCGGTGTGTAGTGGTATGATCATAGCTCAATGTAGCCTTAACCTGGGCTCAAGTGATCCTCCAGCCTTAGCTTCCTGAGTAACTAGAACTATAGGCATGCACCACCGCATCTGGGTAACTTTTTAATTTTAATTTTTATTTTTGTGGAAACAGGGTCTCACTATGTTGCTGAGGCTAGTCTCAAACTCTAGCCTCAAGTGATCCTCCTGCTTTGGCCTTCCAAAGTGCTAGGACTGCAGACGTGAGCATGGTGCGTGGCCTTCTTATGCTACTTCTGCTCTCTATACTGATAAAATGCTTTTGTTGAGTCTCTCATGGTGGAAATTTCAATTTTAGAGTGGTCATTTGTAGAGTGTGGGTGCTTATTTTATTTTGCTTTAGTTTCTGTCACCAGCCCTCATACCCATTTCCCCTTCAGGAAAATGTCACCCCTATTTTCTTTTAGAGAATTACTTCTTCCCAGTATGCAGACAGGACTTGTCTTGGATGGACTGAGACAAATGAGCTTGCCCTTCATTAACTACAGAGTAGACACACATGCAGGCTATCTTCTGTTTTCTCGTTTAGGTCCACCCTTGATTGACCTGTAGGAACCAGGTCAGAGGGCAGCCCTACTCTCTTGCTTCTCACTATGTTCTCCTACTCTCCACCCCAGCTATGGGGTTTCCAAAGCTTTCTGAAAGCTTCTTTAGCTTTCTATTTTCTGTGTTCCCCAAGCAATTTCAATAAATTTCCTCTTGTGCTTAAGTTAATTTCTGTTCCTTTAATTCAAATAACACCCCAAATTACAAATTTTATGTCTCAAGAAATGGTCACGACATGAGAACACATACACATGCCATTTAGTTATGATTCTAGAGAGAAAATCAGAAGTGTCCTTTGGAAAGGGCAAATAAAAATACTGCCATCGCTCCCCAGCTCAAAGAGGCTTGAGACATCCTTAACTCAATGTGTTGTCATTAGACAACCTACAACCATAACTGTTCGCGCGTGGATTGGGAGCATGGTCAGATTTCAAAATAACGGAAAAAAGTATACCACTGTCTTTATAGTAATTTCCTAATTTAGAACATTTCCAAAACAAAGCTAGCTAAAAAGGAATATACGGGTGCCCAATTTGCATTTTCTTTTCTGTGGCAACAACAAATTAAATTCTCTAAAGGCAGAGCAGCTTAGATGGAGTGAGTATGCTATTTGAAGACTGATTTTATCCAATATATTCAATACCTTCTGCTCCGAATGTTTATAGTGGTGCTATTATAAGCATGTAAATCTGCAGACTTATAATTTTGTAGATAGTACTAAGGCATGCTATCTAATACACACCAAAATAAAAAAAAAATAAAATAGTAAGTATTCCCATGATTTCACTTGGGGAAGGTCTTACATTTCATCCATGAAGTTTTTCTATTCATTCTAGTTTTCTATGGCTAGCCTTTGCACCTTAATTAAGTGCTGTTCTTAATTAAGATGTTAAGGGTATGGTGAAAGATTTGCATTGATTCCTATACGTTACTAATTTTCGTGAAAGTCAGTTAGATTAGGGGTGCAATGTAAGGTCACAAAGGTTCAATCTGAACCATACCCAAAGTCCCATGCTTATACTGTCTAACTTTGTCAGGATCAAACTGTCCCACCATAGGGAATATCAGAGTACCCAGAAAGACCAAGGAGGCACTGGCTAACTTAAAGGCTGTTACCTTTGCTAATACCAGCATGAAAATCCATTCATTTAAAATACTTTGGCAGTTAGAATGTTACTGGAAACAGACGTTGCTTCTTTATACATTCAGTTGGTGCTTTGTATCATAAAGACAGAGAAAGAGGGAAGAGTGGGGGATGTCCTTTGTGCAATTTGAGATTTTTCAACAGCAAACATTTTTAATCATTGTTGATCTATCCAGTATAAAGTATTAAGGATTTAATAACAGAATTCCTTATTATCACAATTTAGTCAACTCAATTTCTTTCTCAGAGTAGGACTCAATGATGACTGGAATGTTAAGTAATAAAAGAAAGGGTTGACTTGTTAGGACCTAAGATCAAGGCAGTGACAAAAATTACCTTAAAATCTATAAATTCCTGGTTTATAAAGCCTTAGTTTTTAAGATGAGAACTTTATATTCCCCAATGTCATTTTTATGTTTAAGATGAGAATTTTTATAATGAAGAGTAAGGGGCTCTTTTTACACTATATTTTGTTAGCTATTAAATATTGCCTATGGGTTAAAATTTTATGTCAATAGTGATGCTGTCTTTCCTGAATATTATTATTTCTGTACTGTTTTATGGCTGCTGCCTGAATGGAATTGACATCATTCCTTGTTACTCTTTATAAAAGCTTCTACTGAAGAGTTGTTACCAGGAATTATCATAAAAACTCCTTTCCTTCCCATGTTTATCTCATTACTTATTCCATCCACAGAACAAAATCAGAAGGCATATGAGGGCAGGTGTCCAGATGAAGGGGGAAATGCTTTGCTGTGCAATGTGTGGCTGGTAATTTCAAGCACAACTGTAAGTAACAGGGAATTTCACATGTTCTTCTCCCTTACTGCATCATCAGTGTGGAATGTGTATAAATTCAAATCAGAACTGATTAGGATTTTATTTCAACTGCAGCTTCTCCCAAACACTGCAGAGTCAGTTTAAAACTATGGCTATTATTCAATAGTGGATGTGATGTTTGAAAGAAGGAGGTCTATTTTTCCCCTGCCTTGAGAAAATAAAAGAAATGAATATGGATTAAAGAGTTTTCCCTTTTCCCACTATCTCAGAGCTTAAAACTACCTAGCCTTATTTCAGTAAAATATTATTGGAGTATTTTTTAAAATTCATTTAAAAGCATGATGCTTCTATTGTAGTCATCTGGTCTGTATCTCTCTCAAAGTACCATACTTGTTGCTATTCAGTTTTATATTATTCCTTTCTGGAAAAGCATTATTACTCCAAGGGAACTCTCCTAGGGAATCAGAAGAATTGGCATAGATCATGTAACAAAGGCCAAACCACAGGAAACTAGAATGAATTTAGAGTAAATACACAAGAACTATGCAGTTGGGAGCACTATGAAGTTCCTTTTCTCAGACTCTGCCATTTTATGGCATCAGAGCTGTCATTGCTATGTCTGTAGTAAACACGGGAGGAAGTCACTGCAATTCTGTGAACCCATAAAACACAGGACACTTTTGATATCAAAAGATAATTAGTACTAGAAAAGCATGGTAAAACCAAGTGCATTTACAATGGAGAGCAAAAGGCCGTAGTAAATAATTTTTAAAAAAAGTTTGATTCAGATTTACTCTTAAAAAACTGGAAATCATAAAAATAGGTTTATATGATTTAATATAATACAGATTATAACTGCATTCATGTATAAGTTCGCAGAATGAGCAAAGACTAAACCAAGTGTTACTTTTTTCCCAACAAAATGATATATGTTGAAATTCTTCACTTTTTAATTTTCATAGCATAAGAAAAAAGACGTATTGCAAGAAGTATTTGCCATCTAAAGATCTCACTTAAGTTTTGGTCTTCATTTAATCTACGCATTTTCAAATCATTCTTCTACGAAGCAGCTATCAGGAAATCATCCTAACTTTTCACATGCTTCCTAGCCTGATGCTGCCAGAGTGCTACGTACGCACAGCTCAGCTGCCTACCCAGAAGTTCTCCAATATCACTTTCCCTGACTTCAGGACATCTAGTGTCTTTGTCAAAACTTGCAGTTTTGTTCTACAATCAATTTGCTCAATATCCAACACCCCTGTGGAGACACTGACAAATAGTGATGGAAGTCAGCATTTGGCTGGAAGGAAAGTCTGAGTGGGAACCGGTTTAAAATGCAGCCATGTCCTTAGTGAATATTTTTGCATTATGATGATATTTGCTTTCCTACCTGACCTGTCTGTGGGGACCCAAATAATGAATACTTGAATAACGAGATATGTTTAAACAAAATAAAGTTAATTCTTTTAGACTCAAAGTCTATCAAATGATAAGCTATTGGTGTTCCTCTTAGAAATTCAGGAAAGACCATGTAAGATTTATAGGGACACCTATGTTCATTACAAATAATCTGAAAAGTTTTAAATTTGAGGACTCTTAAAGTTCCTTCTGACTTTAAAAAAAAAAATCTGTTTCAGACAGCAACAAAGATACTTTAGTTATAAGGAGGAATTAAGGATATTCTCCCCTTTCCCAAATAGATAAAATGCTGATATATTTTGAAATTTTAAGAACATTTCCTTATTTATAGGCATCTTTATTTCTTTCGTAGGTTAATAAATACTGAGATTGAACCTAAGCTAGCATCATAAAATAGTGTAAGACCCTGCATTACAGATACTTTTTAAACATTTGCATCTATGACTGGTATCTTTTATAGACAGACCACTTTAAAAATCTCTGTCTCTCACTTACATATTGCAAATGAGAATACATGTGATTTTAAATAATCTGCAATAATTTAACTTTTTTTTTTTTTTTTTTTTTTTTGAGACATAGTCTTGCTCTGTCACACAGGCTGGAGTTACAGTGGTGCAATCTTGGCTCACTACAACCTCCGCCTCCTGGGTTTAAGTGATTCTTGTGCCTCAGCCTCCCAAATAGCTGGGATTACAGGCATGTGCCACCATGCCAGGCTAATTTTGTGTGTGTATGTGTGTGTGTGTGTGTGTGTGTGTGTGTGTTTAGTACAGACAGTGTTTCACCACATTGGCCAGGCTGGTCTCAAACTCCTGGCCTCAAGAGATCTGTCCACCTTTGCCTTCTGAAATGTGCAATAATATAACTGTTTTAAATATAGTTCTTAAGCATTGTGTTCTTAGAGGATACATGAACTAAGCGAGCAACTGACCCAAAGAATATTGTTTGTAAATTGTAACAGAATGTCTATGCATGGAGTTGTACGCTTACCTGAGATTGTGCGTTGACATTGGCTCCATTTGTAACCAAGACTTTTACTACCTCTGCTTGCCCAGCCAAAGATGCAATGTGCAATGCTGTGTTTCCTTTCTGGAAAATGAAAATCAAGATATATCAACTCACTGATCTATTGAATTTTTCTGTTATCCTCAAAGAGAACAAATTTGACAAATATGAGAGTTGTGCCCTAATTCTTACTGAGGGCTGAATTCTCATAGAACATGGCAAGTGGTACCAACAGCATTCGATATGTGATACTGACCTTCGTAGCTGCGTCCACATTGGCTTCTCTCTGTAGCAGCTCAGAAACAACTTCTACATGGCCTTCTTTGGAAGCAAGATGGAGAGCATTCAACCCATTCTGATCAAAAGCAAAGGAAAAGCTTTACTCAGCAGGTTGAAAATAGAGCAGTAAACAACCTACCAAGAACTCCTGAGAGTTGGTAGGAGTCCTACCTAATGATTTAGGTAGGAAAATGTCCTACCTAAATGTAATGTCCTACCTAATGATCACTTGCATGTGCAGGAACTTGAATTAGGAGTCAAAGTACTTGAAAACTACATGGGTTGTTCTGTTATCATCATTTACTAAATTTTAGAAATTAACTAAGGGACATATGCCTACATTTCTGAATGTTCTTCTAACAGAGCAGAGAATAATTTGACAATGACAAGCTGACAAAATTCAATGGAAAAAAAATCTCACATACAAAAAAGAAAGAAGTTTTTAAGGAGTTTAAAGTCTGGACTTTTAGAATTTTAAGTAAAACATTCAATAATAACTCCCACTAACCTGATTGCAAATGTTGATGTCAACTCCATTTTTTATGTAGTCGAGGGCCTTTTCAAGGTGTCCAGCTCGAGCTGCTCTTAAGTAACTTGCGTTGGCATCAGACTAAAATAAAAAAGAGAAACATTTTGATGAAAAATGAAGCTAATCTGCATGTTTATAAACTATCCAGCTTAGGGTCCAAACTAAAATAATTGAGCTCTTTTATTTCTAACATGGAAACATGAACAAAAGTTCTTTGTAAAAGAACCAAGAAAAGGGCAAATTTTTTAAAAGTTATTTTTGATGGTACAGGATTACCCCTTGTGTGATGTCACAATTCATTCTGAACTGCGAGAGAAAATTACCTATAATGTATAGGCATCTTAAATCAACACACTATTTCCAGAGAGAAAACAGAAATTCAATTACTTATTGATAATTACATTATGAAGAAACCCCACTATTTTCTTGTAGCAGAAATGTAACAGCTATTCCATTTATCTATATCTACCACAGCCATTTATCCAATTAATAGCTTCAAAATGGCATTCTTCTTCTTCTTCTTAGAGACAGGGTCTCACTCTGTTGCTCAGGCTGGAGAACAGTGGTGCAATCACATCTCACAGTGGTGCGATGAGGCTCAAGATCCTCCACCTCCTCCTCCAGAGGAGCTGAGACTATAGGCATGTGCCACCATGCCTGGCTATTTTTTTATTTTTTAGAGACAGGGGTCTCACTATGTTTTCAGGCTGGTCTTGAACTCCTGGCCTCAAGCAATCCTCCCACCTTGGCCTCCCAAAGTGTTGGGATTATAGGCATGAACCACCATGCTTGAACACATTTTATGTTGTACTTAGCAGTCTAACAGAAATTTGCAGGCAGAGTGATGTTCTACTGGATTTTCCTATAGTACATAGCCATCTGTAGGAGCAGCAGCAGAAAGAAAAACATATAATTTTTTTAAAAAAACAAGACATGTATTTCACTGAGAGCTTGCAACTGCTAAACTCTACCATCTATAATTTCACAGTTGAAACCATCTACTATTAAAATCTTTAATAGAAAGATGGTGAGAAGAAAGACACTAAAGCTGGGCCTGGCATGCAAACTTTACAAAGAAGTCTTGCTTAATACAGTACAATACAAAAGCAGGTGTTCCTGAAAGAGCAGCCAAACCCATTTTGTCACTGGTTATAAATGCAATCACGAAGGCTATGGCTTAAAAGAGAAAAGTGTCTTCTTTCAGCCATATGGTGAACACCGCCTTCAAAGCCTTTGTTCAAATGCCACCTCATCTGTGAAGCCTGCCCAGACCCCCCAGGTGGAGTTTAGTTTCTCAGTGCTCCCAGCATGAATTTCGTTGAGCTCTCTTTGTATGTACCACAGAGCACCACAGATTTTGGTATACCTGTCCTTATTCCACCCTCAATTATGAGCTCCTTCAGAATAAGCAGAGGAGGCAGATTAAGGAGCAGGCAACTGGAAAGTAGCCAAGATGCCAGTCTTTAAGAGAGGAACTCTAATTCTTTCATGGAAATGTAATTGAGAAGAAGGAAATTCTACCCCTCAGAAGGGTCCGTGGTTCCAGTGTGGGTCGATTCACTGAGTCAACTTGCTCAAGAACTCGGAGGAGAGGCCACTGCCACTGGGGTGGCCTGCCCCCTTCCCTTCTATGGTAGTGTGCCTCTCTCAGTCATTATTGCGACTCTAAATCGGGGCTCCTTAGCCTCGGCAGTACTGGCATTTTGATCTGAATAATTCTTTGCTACAGGAGACTGCCGTGTTCATTGTCCAATGTTTACCAGCATTTTCTACTGGTCAGGTACCAGCAGCACCCCCTATTTGTGACAACCAAAAGTGTTTCCAGAATTGCCAAATGTCCCTCGAGGGAGGGGGCCAAAGTCTTCCCAGTTGAGGACCACTGCTTTAAATAAACAGTAACCCAACTTATATAAAGATTGTACACTTCCGGAGGCTGAACTCTGGCCTGTTTGGGTTGCCACATGCCTTGAACTCAGCACAAGGCAAAGTGAATCTATGTGTAATATTCAACTTTCTGTTTCTCCTGCAACTGGAAGCATTCTTGGCATATAGCAAGTGCCTCTAAGTGTTTTGTCAATGAATGAATCAACAAATAAGTAAATTGGGTGGAAATAACTATGAATTAAATTATTGCCTGAAATAATGCAGGAGGCTTTATTAGCAGCAGAAACAGCAGTTTAAGTTGAGAATCTGATAGATACAAAGGTGAACACCAGGGATTATAAACTAGTCACCAAGTCAGGTGTCTGAGAGCACACATAGCTATTACTTAAAATAACATGAAGTTGGAATTTGAGATAAGCATGAAAATTGTTTAATTAGAGCAGAAGGTTAAGAAGATGACAAGAGATAAAGGTTCAAGTTAAACAAAGGACAAATCAAAATTTCAAAGGATTTAAAGAAAAATATAATGCAGTTTTTACAGAGGTTCACTATTTAGAGGTTAGTTTTCTGTTTATAAGTTCAGTTAGAACTAAATTAGCTACGCAAGGACGGCTCATTGCACCATAAAATATCATCTTCTTTGTGCCTGCTCAATGAACTTACCAGTGAATTTACCCAGAAGGGCTCTGATGCCGTTCTGGGAACAAATGACATCAGTCTGCCTGGATATTTCAACTGCCAGAGATAACAACTGTGAGTTAAGCATCCCAAACTCCGAAGTGGAGTACATATAAAGAGCAGCTAAAGAAGTTAAAAAGCAGGTGTTGTAATTCAAGAAAAAAGCCTTTGAATTGATCCCATATCTGGAAATATTTAATAATTTCGGCCGGGCGCGGTGGCTCAAGCCTGTAATCCCAGCACTTTGGGAGGCCGAGGCGGGTGGATCACGAGGTCAAGAGATTGAGACCATCCTGGTCAAGAGATCGAGACCATCCTGGTCAACATGGTGAAACCCCGTCTCTACTAAAAATACAAAAAAATCAGCTGGGCATGGTGGCACGTGCCTGTAATCCCAGCTACTCAGGAGGCTGAGGCAGGAGAATTGCCTGAACCCAGGAGGCGGAGGTTGCGGTGAGCCGAGATCGCGCCATTGCACTCCAGCCTGGGTAACAAGAGCGAAACTCCGTCTCAAAATAAATAAATAAATAAATAAATAATAATAATAATTTCATACACTTTCCATTTTCCTCTCACATGTCCTCAGAATTTTCCCACCCAAATGTCTAAAACAAAACAAAATCAGTATAAAACAAATCTTTGAATTCACTGGTTCTCTACCTATTTGGAATCTGTATTCGAGACTAATAAAGGTGTGAATGAATGATCTTTCTTCAACAATTGCACATACAGGCACCAAATCTATACCTGCACACACAATTTGCACATAATTTCATGTGGCTCAGGTGTGCTAAGCCTGCTCATGAACTTGCATTTAAGAATTCCTGTTCTACTGATAGAAAACTCTCTGGTGGACACCTGCATTATATCTATTTCATCCAATCACCCCAATATCAAACAATTTTCTGAGACAGCTTATTGACTACCTCAGAACTTTAGGAAATATAAGCAGAAATGGAAATTAATTTTCTTCACTTTTCTTGGCCCTATGTTACATATCAACATGCTTACCACACCAAAACCATACCAACCGCCTACTTCAAATAAAAAGGAGGAAAAGGCAGAGAAAAAGCAAGAAGAGGGGAATGAAGACCGCCCTGAAGAAAATTTACATCTCAGGAAACGACCTTACAAAGCCCACAGAAAAGTGACCAGTAAGCTCCTCCTTTTACCCTTAGCCACCGGCAAGCAATGTAGCCACATATTCCTTCCTCAAATATTTGCTGAATCTCGACTATGTATTAGTCATTTTGTCAGTAACTGGATACACACTGGTGAACAAAATAAATGTGGTACAAATAATGACTTATTTGCTTTCATTTCACAGCTTCTTACTCTCCTCTAAAATAACCTTGCCTAAGTGGCAGGGTAAATATTGGATTCTTAATCATTTTTCTCCCAAGTTGGCCCATAGGTACTATATAATACTTATGCATTGTTGTTTATATCCTTCATGTATGAAAACCCCAATATTTTTACTAGACTCAGTATCAGCAGGTTGTATCTCATTGCTGTCATTTCATGGAATAACTAGTGGTTATTCTTAACATAGTCTACAGCTTGTTTTTTTAACCTTTCGATAACCTTGTATCAAAACAATGCCTCTTTTGATGCTATGTCTAAAGATGCACCCAAAATGTCAACAAATTACTAAGGAGGAAATTAGGTTCAAAGACAAGTGGGGCTTAGCCACATGAAAAGTCACACAGACAAGGCTACTGCCTAAGGAGTTAGTTGCACAAAAATGAATATGAACAGGTTGTTCAGCACTTTTTTCCTTCTGGGTGACCAAAATCTGAAGAATCTGAAAAATGAAAGTTTATTTTGTTAGCATTTAATGTCCCACCTACTTAGTCATTTTACTAGAAATATGAATCATGTATGTTTTTCAAGGAAATATCTTCAGGGATGCAGTCAAGCATTATTATGAATTAATCTAGTAACTCAGCATCTTTACTGGCAGTGGAATATTGATATTATTCAGCAGAAAGCAGTTATTGGAAAGAATAAGCATTTTCAGAGTGCCAACCTCAGTAATAATATTTCGTACCTCTGACCATAAGCTAGGCATGATTACAAGCACTTAAATGACATTAACTTAATATTATTCTTAACATAATATGTATTAACTTTATAATTCCTTATAATAATTTATTTAATCCTTGTAACAGTGCCATAAAGTAATGTAGTGGGTTGAATGGTGTCTCCCCAAAACTTATGTTCATTAGGAACCTCAGAACATGACCATATTTGGAAATGTATCTACAATCTTTGCAGATACAATTAGTTAAGAAGAGGTCATATTGGATTAGAATGGGTCCAAAATCCAATGACTAACCTTATAAGAAGAAAAGTCACATGGACACCTAAGAGAGATGATGGCCAAGTGAAGAAAGAGGCAGAGACTTGAGTTATGCTATCTCAAGGCAAGGACCACCAGAAGTGGGAAGAGGCAAGGAAGAATCCTCCCCTAGCGTCTTTAGACGAAGTATGATTCTGCTGATACCTTGATTTTGGAC